CGCGATATCCGTGCGACACTTTTGTGAAATATTTCGAAGTGTTGACGGTGAAAACCCACTATAACAGAGCCCAGTCTGCAATCCGTGAGAGCATATACCGTCACGATAAACAAACTGCGTGTGATTGCACTGTGTCTGGATAATCGTATGGCAATCGCTAAGCGAATTGCACGGATTTGGCTATTAATTGGGTGTCAAACAAGAAGCGCTGCTTCTGCTTGCGCAGGCAATAATTGTAATTCCTACACCGGCATGGTCTGCGGCTTCACCACTTGTATCTCCCCATAGTCTCAGCGTGAATATGTCGTGTTAGCGATCGGAGGACTACGTAGGTTCATTTCCATGTGTGCGGATAGCGCTTTTCAGTTATGCAGGTAAGTATAGAGGGTGGACTTACGTAACCCCACCTCGGGTCTTAGTTCGCAAAGGCCTTACCCGTAAAGCAGCGACTCGGGTACCGTGCACATTAAAACGTCTGACCATGTAACACTGCTTTCGAGTAGCAACAAACTGTTTAGAACGCCCGAACGCCCCGAGATTTGTAGCACAGGTTCAAGGAAACGTTTACTGGAACGTCCAACCCGTTGCTGAATACTCGCTCTTGACAGCCAAACGGCTCATGTGCCTACTTAGCGCCTTCACTCTGAAACCTCTGGGAAGCGCTCAATAGCGTACAACAATTCCGTAAACCGATTTCTATGCACATACCCCATTCTCAACTTCGTCTTGCATCGTTACACCTCCACTCGAAGTGCATCACGAGATGATCGCTGCATCAATATACGCCAAAATGTGATGTCACTTTCGTCTTACGATTTTGTGGTTCACACTCTATCAGCTTGCGGTGCTTCTCAAGCATTCACTTAGTTACTTAGTAGTTTGTCGCCCACTGCTTTAAAACGCAGTGCGCGCTAGCTGAGAAATAAGCACACAGATCACCCAAATGTTCAGCTGCATTATAGCCTTAGTGCATAGGTTGACACGTCGCCTAGCACAATCGTATGATGCCAGGACGTCTAGTGCACTGCGGTCATCGTACCAGTGACAGGGGTCAATAACCACCTGCGATTTCGCGCTTTGGCTAAGGTTAGCTGTGCCCCCACGTGCTTCAATACGTCACTCGTATTGCGTTTTGCCTAGTAGCCGGCTAGTAGCTTACCGGAACGATGCGTATCCGTTGCTGGTAGCTCAGCTGGCATTCAACTGTCGTATTTATTTTTCCTTTATGTATTGTATGTATGTATGTATTTCCTTTATGTATTGCGGTACAATAGCGGAGGTGTTTTACCATCTCTAGCTGACATGTATAATGATGATGATGATGCTCGTTCACTGGCGCACGCCGTGTCCACAGCATGCGCTAGATTGTACCGACCTGCACTGCCTACCATGTCAGAATGTGAATAGTCAGTAGCCATTTTCGTCAACAGGCACTGTTAAAGAAGTACTGTGGATCGCGCCGAAATTCCTTATCTTGCTCTGACCCAGTTTCATCCCAGCACACTGTGGTTGACTTCAGGCTCTAACATGTTACTACGCCCACCCCCGCCATACATTCGGTCACCGCCCAGGTGACAAGATGCACGCGAACTAATCCGGGCTTTATCCCATACATGCGCACACATTGTTATGTCAGTGCACCCATGCGATATTAACTGATGGTGCGCACGTCACTGTCGCCCGACTGTATTTAGTTTGCACTCAGACTAACCTGTAATGGTCCCATAGGATTTTGGTAACCAGTCTGCTGAACTTGTAACCCTTGTGGCTTAAGTTCACATGGAAATGGCATAGATGTGGTGTGTGTGGATATAGCTATGGTTGGTGCACCGCATGCCAATCATAGTCCAGCTTTCATCAGGCGCAGCCATCCTGTGGCTGTCCACATTCCGGACACAGTAACAAGCAGAACCGAGAACAAGCGCTGTCGGTCATGATTCACACTCGTGCATGCGTGGTCATAATTGTCCATTCGTGCGGTTGCAACGTTATTGCGTGGTATACAGCCTGTCCCAATACTATTGTCACTCTATTCTGTTAATGGGTGACAGAGTCATTACTTCGGGTGTGAGGTAGAGCGCACTAAATTGCCAACTGTCCAACAGTAGATGTTGGTCTACCTCAAAAGGTCACACCCGCACATGGGTGTAGAACGATCGTATACATGCATGTGGGTCCATGTGTACTTGTCAGTGTCGTCCATCGTGAAAACGCTGGGTCATGTGCGGACGGTTAAGTTGGAGTCAACCTATGGCAAGCCACAAAGCAAGTTCACTGATCGATACATACGGTGTTTAGGGCTGGTTAAAACAGAGATACGTGTGAAAATCGAAACAGCAGTGCCTCACTACCCCGCTACTGCGATAAAATTGTGGTGGCGCTTCGACAGGCGTAACTGACCTGAGCAAGGAGTGTGCAATAGATGCTTGGTGTTATCCCAGCTAGTGACAAAAGGGTTATTGGCAACGCTCTTGTAGACTGAAAGTTAACTTCCAAAAACCTACCTTAGCAAAATAGACATTCCTTACAGGCAGACCTTGCAAATATGAAATGTGACGTTTTGAGAAAGGAGTTTTGAAAAGCCATGCCGCCTAAAGACTACTCGCTGCCGCATAGCCTATTCTCCCATCGCAGTATTGATCGCCGTTGCAGGAAACAAGTGTGGTTACGCTGCCCAATTTGTTTCAGGCGGGACCATGAGCGTCCATTGCAACATGTTCAGTGATGAAGCAATATTCTATTAGCAGGGAACGGAGAAGCTGCATTTCTAGACAATATCTAATCCACGACGATATTGAGAATCATGTATTGCACAAAGCTCAGTGACTTGATAAAATGAATGACAAATCGTGAGACCACAACACACGCATGTGGGTTCTCACTCATACCGTGCACCACAGGACCGTTATCCCTGGGACACATTATGCTGCAAACCCACCTTTAGCTCAAATCTGGTGATCGGGCAGGTCAATCCTTTGGACCTCTGTGACCGAACACCTGAAGATAATGCCGCACTGTTTGTGCATAATGGGTAGGTGCGCCATATTGAATCTATAAAGGCTGAAGCGAAGTAGCCAACGACAATCGGTGGTGAAAACATCTCTATCTTGTAGCTGCTACGTAATTTGTAAGCGACAGTTCCCTTGCCACTGGAGAACCATGAGAGTGAGAAGAATGGCGGTAGTCATAAACGAGCTATTTGGCAAACACGAGGGCAACGGAAGTACGCGACGCTGGCTTGCAAGAAGCGCATGACGCAACCTACTGAGCTACAAGGGTTTCGTGCACCGCCGTCAACTTTACAGTAAACATCCACAGCGATGCCTTCACCCTGTCGGGCAATCGGGCGTTCCTCACGTACCCAACTTGTTCTATTTTCTCCCAGCGTTCATTCCATCCCGAAAGTGCCAGCCAATAGCCAAGTTCATCATGGACTCTATCATGGAGCATTCCCTTGTGGAATCTTACGATGTAGGCGTTGAGGTCCTGCCTGGCGAAAGGTTAGTTGATCTTGAGTATGCGGACGATACCGTCTTACTTTTCGACGATGTTGCGGCGGTACAATCAACCCTGAACAGCCTGTCTAGAGGGGTCGCATTTGGTATTCGCTTCGCACCTTCAAAGTGCAAAGTGTTGCTGCAAGACCACCAGCCACTTTATGAACCTTTGACCCTTGTTAACGAGGAACTTGAGGTGGTTGATCAATTCACTTATCTTGGCAGCTGCATCAGCAACGATGGGCGCATAGACACTGACGTCAGCGGACGCATCGCAAAGGCCAGAGCTGCCTTCTCGAACTTGCGGCATTTTTGGCGACAGAAGGGAATTGCCCTCCATCTGAAAGGTCGTGTATACAAAGCCACCGTTAGGGCTGTTCTACTCTATGGTAGTGAGACGGCCTCTTCGGTCTGAAGCGCCTTCAAGTCTTTGATCATCGTTGTCTGCGAAGCATTGCTGGTGTCGGATGGCACCAGCGTGTCCGCAACGATGATGTGCGTAAGCGAGTACTAGGCAATGATGAACACGCTAGTCCTTTAGAATAACAGATGGTACAGAATAGGTTGCGTTGGCTTGGACAGGTGCGATGTATGCTTGGTCACCACTTACCTAGGAGTACCTTCTTTAGTCTGCCAGGTGTAGGGTGGCGCAAGGCTCGAGGTGAACAAAAGTTGACTTGGCAGCGGGAACTGAAGTCACTGAGGATCAAACTAGGTGCCGTTGGTCCGCTTCGCCTTCCGGGCTGGAGTCCACGTGACCCGCCTTGTGCTTGGCTCGAGATGCCGCCTTTTGTTTGCATGATAGCCAGCTGTTTGTGACGGTATGTTGTCTACACAAGGTGTACGCGCCTTGACCCTGAATGTTTGCTTAGGGCATTAAGGTTTTCAGGTAAGTCCCCCTTCTCTCCCTCTTATTGTTCTTTGTTCCTTAGTAGGTAACCGTGGTGGTGGTACGGTAGCGAATTATCAGTTCAAGTGACTGCTGTTAAATTACCACTGGAGTAGCTCAAGTGAAGTAGGCAACACGATTTCTCGCTAAAACGTCGCGTGTTTGCTAGCGATATAACCTAAAATCCGATCGAATGACTATCCCATAAGTCGAAAGTATAATGATTGTTAGATGACGGAACAATTCGCTTTCCGATCATCGTAGGCGATTCAGTCGAGTACAGTTCCGTTAGCATAGGAAGACATGACAACAACTATACGATGTCAAAAGTATGTATCCCGCAGTTTAGGAGGCAACCAGAAAACCAATGTGATGAAAACAAGGGTTGATGATCAAAGTACTAAAACTGGTACGATTGGTGAGTATAGAACACCATAACAATGATCAGTAGCGAAAAAACAAGGAAATGAGTGTAGGCATGTACAATGGGGGGAAGGTGATTACAGAAAGCGTGACCACTGAGGAAGTCCGCAAATGCTAGGCGGGGTCACCGGTCATGTCTCAGAGGTTTGGCAAAGTTTGAGATCAACGCTCGCCGAAAACAAAACGACACATCAAGCGGGGTCCCGATGGCGGATAATGTAAACCAGCACCAAGTAGCCCGGCTGTTTCCAGTGAAAATAACGCGCGCTCCGTAAATTCATATTAGGATCCAGGCACTAGCATTGGGAAGACCAGTAGGAGAAATTATTCAAAAATTAAAACAACACAAGCAAGAGTAATAAGAAAATCTGGGTAATGACTTGACGTCGTAACCCTTCAGGTCAGTAATCGAAGCAACTAGATAAATAAACAAAGGTTTATTTCTCGATTCTGCGAGAAGACAACGCGACGGGTCAGATCAGTATGTACATGAATTGCATGCACACCAACCATTAGTGACTCCATAATTCCAAAAACCGTACCAGGAGACGCACAGTGCAATTTTCTGCAATAACCATTCTGAAGCACTAATGGTTCTTGAATGTTTAGTTTTAACTGGGATTCAGCGAGGAAAGAGTTTAGTTAACGTAGCACTCAATTCCCTGTGACCCCCAAAAGTAGCGTGTTAGAAAGAGGAAAAAAGGTGAATATTTGGGGTGGACAAGAAGAAGTGAATCAAATAGAGAATGGCGGTACAGGTAAGTGCGAATTAGGCCAATGAGTGCTCCAAGTGAACTTTAACCCCTAAACAGGACAATCTACCCCGAGCAGTTGATGTGCTCCGTGAATTACAAGGAATGCGTGCCACCTGAGTCAAATTTTAAGAAAGTGACGGTTAAGACATCCGCCTTGTTTTCGGGGCATTTCAGTTGATTCACTAAGACCCGTACGATAGACCCAGGTTATCACGACCATCATCATCGTTATGAGAAAATAGTCCAAAGTTAATGGAGGGGTTTCAGCATTGCACTCGCCAAATACTAACACTCCATGACCGGTTTCCTCCTCATTTAGACTCATCAGATGGAGATAGCTTGAGCTGTAAGTGGCCTAGTGGTTAACGGCTGACGCATTGATCACCAGGCCACTGACGTCCGTGAGCAACATATGACACAGCGGTTAGGAATTTAGAGCTGGGTTTGGAGTATCCACAAGATGCTTGAATTGCGACACGAAACCACTATTGAGACAACTTTAAATCCACAGTTGATTATACTGAAAAGCGTAATAGATGAATTGTGTCTCCGAATAAACGATAGATGGCTTGGTTCAAATTCAAATATCATTTAATTCGACCGCTGCCATCCCGATCCCTGTGTGATTCCTTTCCCTTATGGCTTGTGGAACAAACGCACATTCAGTAGCTGCTATCATCTGACGACGGATGTGATGAGTGATCTATGACGTTTAATTGTGGCACCGTCCACACCGACTGATGAGAAAGGAGTGAAATCTGAAATGCGATGTCAGTCAGGGACAAAATTAAGTGAGCCAAGTGCCAATAGCAGGTTTGTTTGCTACACAAGTTAGGCGGAGATATGATGCGCACCCGGCTGTATAAGACAATCGGACATAAATATCGTACCTGGTCACCGCACCAAATTTCCACCAGGTCTTCTGGAGCAACGTCGCCGGAGGAGGCAGCATCGATGAGCGTAGTAAGATCGGCTTGAGATGTTTCCGGTGGCAACTCCAACGGAGTCATAGGAGGAGACCGCGGATCGCTGGGAGCAGCGACAGCAGAAGAAGACCACTGAGGAGGTAGCCGAAGGTTACGTGCATCGCCTGTCTGGGAAAAATCTGTGAGTGCGAATGATTAACAGTATGGAAACAAAAAATTACACCAAAATGGAAACAGAGGGAAGTGTAGTCTAATAAGGGGCAAGCCAATAGATTCAGGAGATAAATTCACGCCAAACAAATTGTCTTGGTACTCGTAGTGGCGCTGGCAGAGTTACGTGCAAGTGTGCTGAAAAATGCCATACCATGACCAGAAAAGAAACGATCGGATATGAAAGGAAAACAAAGTAGAAGACATATTGAATACACTAGTGAAGGGACACTTGTAATCCCAACTTACGTTGAGCAGGTCGCTCAGCCGGAAAGTATGGTGAATTAGCCCCTAAATGACCTGCATTTCGACCCAGAGAAGGGCTGGGAACCGTATTATTGGCAGTCAGTGATTCAACCAGTTTCAAAAGTCGTTGATACACATGTTCCATCACTTTCCGAACGGGCAGAATATCGTTTGCAGAGAGACAATCACGTTTCATAGAGGTCAGAGGAACAATCTGACTGCAAACGGTACAGAGGAAAAGAAACCTTGAAATCACATTACAATCAAGTCGACCGGAGGACACTAAAGGCAGCAGTACGCTACATTTCTCATAAAGTATACGGATTGGACAACCATGGGCTGGTGATCGAAGTCAGAAAGGTAACCAGTCATAATGCAATCCTATGTGTGAATCGTGGGACCATCAAGCGACAGTCAAAGTGTAAGTTTGAAACCGACACACGCAAAGAACTGCCACAATAAACAGTGAAGTTTGATCATGTGACGAAAATGAGGTTACAAACTAGGCATTTGGCGCTGTGATTTAGATAACTGGCCAGTCAACCCAGAAACTTTAGTTCCGATGTTCAACTCTTGGTTTCCAACCCATGGGACTTGCTAAGCAGTGCTATTTTATCCATAATACACAACTGCTCTATTGATTTCATAAGCTGTGGGCTTGCGGGACAAACATATCACTGGTGCATCTGCAAGCAAAGTGGATTTCGAATTCTAAACGTTGTCCACAGATGAAAATCCTGGACAAATGTAAAGTTGGGATAAAGGGGAAGGTTGGATTGTCACAGGGTATATGTGAAAAGAGGTGGGCGCTCCACGTGAAATAGAAAATGGTTTTCGAACAACAAGAAGCGAAACAAATGGGAAAGAGAGCATCAAAAAGCAGGCTAGACTGCTTCCATGGCTGACCACATTATCAGATCCAAAACACAAGCTGGAAATACTGACGGAGTCAATTTGAGCCGAAAGAAACCGTAAAGATACATGGCTTGTAAAGCTCAAACAGGGATTGTGGCCGCGTACAATATGAGAATCTAGGATCGTTAGGAAAACAGTTTTGTGCCAACTTCAACTCTTTCGTGCGACATAGTGCAAGGACTATATTCAGTCATCAGAACACGTGATAAATATACACGTCAGCCAATATCACTATTACAGATGAAGAAGGTAATGATTGCAAATAACAAATGAAGGAAGTTTATTTTATATGTAGTCAGGTGAATAAAAGAAGCAAACCCCAGGAAGGGTCGAGACAAGAAAGTACATTGACAAGTGGATAGTCGAGCGGACGGAATCCCTTAATCAGAACTCAAAATAAGTTCACACACGAATCTATAAACTCACCACTGGCCTTTTTCGTTAAAATCACGGACTCCAGGAACGAGGAAAAATTCAATTCGATTTGATTTAGGTAGTCTTCGCTGAGAGAAAAAAACAGTAAAGCGACTATACTGTGAAGACATTTTGGGAGATTTTGCAAATTCATCAAAGTTAACTATACAACCTCGGCTGATTGGGGTATGTAAGCTCATGCGTCTGGTGCGGTCGAGTCACAGGGAACGCGAAATATAGCTACAATAAACGAGGACAACAATCGGGTTGGCTGCTCGGAATGAGTGACAAGATAACAAGATGACATCAAATAAAAGAATAAAGTTATCTGAGCTAGAAAAAAAACAAAGTAAACTAGGTGAAAAAGTATTTAGAGGTATGTCACGCGCATGCGCTCTGCAGACCCTGACTGTGGGAGAGTTAGAGAACACTGATTCGTGTATCGCCGGTCCGTAGCCTGAAGGATCACAAGCCTGCCTTGTGATCCGAGGGCGGGGGTTCGAGCTTGGGTAGGGACAGGGCAACACTCAGATTATCTTCAGCCCACGTACGGCCGATGGTGGTTGTGCGGCCGTGAAGCGTCGGTACGCAGTACCGGCGTAGTGATGATGCCTCGATTCGTGTATTGCGGCCAGCAGCTATGAACCCATGATCTGCTCAGGTAGAGTAGAAACGAAACAAGCTGAGCCTTGGGAAAAGTTGCTCACTGATGCACGTTGAAATTACTTAGCGAAATGAAATACGCCATAGAAAGATTCTTCCCAGGTTGACAGTATCGTACTATAAAAGGTAATGTCAAGGTGTGCAAGTTAACAGCAGTGTGAAACCGTCGATTCTGGCATAGTGGCACAGCCTCGAAAGAAATCAGCACAAAAGACGATACACAGATGGATTACAAGAGTGACCCACCTAAATCGTATTGATAATTGAGCACTAGAAAACAGTTCAGGGTTAAAATATCTTTTCGGTAAAACCTCGTCAGACCCAAACTTTTACATGACACGGATTATGTGGGGTAAGCGTCAAATCGGGCTGGGATTGATTTCTAAGGTGTTTGAAAGGTCAAGATCGATGACTAAAGGTGGCTACAGATGGTAGGAAAAGTGCATCAAAGGAAATTAATACAAGCTTCAGGGCCTAAAGTAAATAGCTAAGGTCACAAAGGGTAGTTAAGTAACTATGTCAGTCGGCCAAGGTATCGGCCGTATGAGTCGTTTGTGTACGCATAATTACGGCTTCAGATGATGGAAGTAAATAGCCTCGGCGATAGACAAGATTTGCTTTCAGAAGCCTTGCGATAAGCGTTCAGGTAGTGAGTAGATGACTTTAAAGTCATTCTCAGATGCAGTATGGCCACTTTCGAGGAGGTGCGACATGATTGAGCTGTCTGAGGCTCTCATTTCGCATTTGTAAAACCATGCCGGGATGTGCTCGCGAATCCTCTGGGATAGACGTCTCGTTGTGTGACCCACGTATCGTGCACCACAAGAGCACGAGTACTGATAAACGAGCATCGAACGGGTCAACGATGGCAGACTATCTTTCAAGGGTTTTGCAAGCAATGGTTTGTTGTGGTAAACAATTCTTAAGCAGGCTGCGAAATAAGTTTTCTCAACAGCATCTTTCAAACGTCGAGATAGGATATCAGCTGCAATATCGCCCTTAAATGGTAAATGTATGAACAGCTCTTTCTTGGGAGCAATGCTTCTAGGTGGCTTTCGCTTGCGTTCTTTCATATGCTTCATGATAAACTTATCGGGACAACTATTCTCACGAAGGGCGTCGCTGATTCTCTGTAGCTCTTCGTTGACGGTATCCGGAGTGCCAATACTGTGCGCCCTGAAGGCAAGAGATCGGATTAAACTCCTCTTGTGCTGTAAAGGCATCGCGCTGTGAAAGTTAGTGTACTGTCCAGTCCATGTATGCTTTCTGTGTACCTTTCTGCTACATGAGCCGTCCGAATTGCGGATGACTTCTACATCCAAGAAAGGTAAACGGTTTTTATTTTCGTGCTCACAGGTGAAGCGTAGATTATCATGTGCATCATTAAAGGTCTTCAGCAACTGTTCTGCATGCTTTTCGGATTCGCAAAGCACGAAGGTGTCATCGACGTACCGTATGTACATTTCAGTTCCACAGATGTGCGTCCTGAGTGGGCGATGTTCTAATTTCGCCATAAAGATATCAGCCAACAACGGCCCCAAAGGAGATCCCATGGGCACTCCATCAATCTGACGGTACATCTCACCATTGAACATGAATTGAACATTTAACGTGCAGCGAAATAGTATCTCCTTATGCAAATCCTCCGGAAAGTTAGCGTATATTGGTAGTTGCCGGGTCAACTCGCACACGTACTCCACCGTTTCGATCAGGGGAATGTTTGTAAACAGCGACTGGGCATCAAAAGATATCATCCTTTTGCTAGTAAAGTTGAGTCTAGATATCTTCTCAATGAATTCGAAGGAGTCTCTCACGCAGTAAGTGCAAACCATATCCCATAACGGTTGCAATTTGTTCACCATCCATTGAGCCAACAAATGCTGGGGAGAACCCACCATGTCCAAGATTGGACGCATTGGGGCGCCTTCCTTGTGAACTTTTGGAAGGCCATATAATCTCGGTAGGTGTCCACCTGAAGGCTTCAACTTTTCGTATTCGCTCTTTGTGATCAGTTTGGCTTGCATCATTCGCTTGAGGCAGCCGGCCAACTGTTTCTCTAACTCCCCTGTGTTGTCCTTTCCGGCCATAAGCTTCTGGAACTTACGTTCATCACTGAGGATATGTTGCATTTTACAGATATAATCCACCCTATCTAATAACACTATGCCGGATCCTTTGTCTGGTCTAGAGACAATCAATTCGTTGTTTAACCGTAACTCTTTAATTGCCTGAATTTGTTCCCTTGAAATAATACCATTACTAGATGGTTTAGCCTTAACATATTCATGACAGCTATTCACTAGACTAGAATTTAGGTTCTCAAAATCACTAGAAGATGTTGGAAACAGATCTCTAGTTTGTATCATAAAGCTTTCAAACTGCACTTCTAAGGCTGCCTGATCTATTTTCTTACGTGGAATACAAAACTTAGGGCCTAATGATAACACTTCCAGCTGTGTTGGGCTTAGTACTACACTGGAAAGGTTGAACACATACCGTTGCGGGTTATTCGGAAAGGTCAATTGTGGGACTTGGTTGTTAAGCGTGCTAAGTAATTTCCTTCGCTTTCTTGCTCCCACTTTCAGCTTAACCAATTCCACATATTCCTCAAAAGGCCGTCGCAGATCCTCAGACAAGCCTGACACCGATGGAAACCTTTGCGAAATGAATCGCTCCAGCTCCGACAGTTTAACGCGGATGGTGTCCACATAATTAAGTGCATACCTTTTCAAAGTTTTTGCGTTTGGGTAGAGGCCACAGCGCCGTATCTCTCTCCAAAAGTGTTTTGGATAGCGGCTTGCCTGTACGCATTCATTCAGAAATTCCAATTCAACTCTGGATTCCTCCAACCGAGTACTGAACTTCAGATATTCAAAATCTTCAACGAATCACGGGCAATGCTGATTCTCAACACAGCAAATATTCCCATTGTAATCAAATGAATCAAGACCAGAAAACAGTACAGGGTTAAGATATCTTTTCGGTAAAATCTCGTCAGACCCAAACTTTTACATGACACGGATTATGTGGGGTAAGCGTCAAATCGGGCTGGGATTGATTTCTAAGGTGTTTGAAAGGTCAAGATCGATGACTAAAGGTGGCTACAGATGGTAGGAAAAGTGCATCAAAGGAAATTAATACAAGCTTCAGGGCCTAAAGTAAATAGCTAAGGTCGCAAAGGGTAGTTAAGTAACTATGTCAGTCGGCCAAGGTAGTAGTATCGGCCGTATGAATCGTTTGTGTACGCATAATTCCGGCTTCAGATGATGGAAGTAAATAGCCTCGGCGACAGACTAGTCGTTTCATAGGTGAACCGGCGTCAGGGAAACCATACCACTTGGAGTTAAGGTAGAATATTGAAACAAAACGACGGGCAGCTAATAGACGTGGTTCGCGACCTTTCAAAACCGTAATAAAAGCGGAGGGAGTAAGCCGCAAGGCCAACACAGTGCTATCAGAGCGCGACAGTGCTAACTGAAGTTCGCAGGCGATCAACGTAGCGTACGGAGCGACCGTGGGTCATATAGATTCAAAAGACCTCCATAGCAGAGGTCAATAACACTATCGACTACGAGCAACGCGTTGATTATATACAAGATGATATTCGTTAAAGAAACAAATCAGGGTGTCAGGTAATTCAGTGTTTAAAGATAAAAACCACAGAACAAATCCCGCCCAAAACTAACCTCTATAACAACATCTCGAATCCAGTCGGGGACAGAGTCACAGTGCATGAGTTGTTCGTTTAGCGGTGCAGCATCGCGCACCAAAAAGCGGACCAGAGCTCTGCCAGCGCCTTCACTGGGTTAACAGGGGAAAAATAAGATGGAAGGTGAGAGACGGCGTAAAAACAGAATAACTCTCTCTTACCCGTTTTGCGGGACATACAAAACCGCATAAAAGCATCCTTAGCGCAGTGAATGGATGGAACGAAACCAGACGTCGCTTGAGACACAAACATGTGAGATATCGCGAAACCAAATACGGATGCCTATCGGGTAGTGCTTTTCAGCCAGGACAGAGCAAACATGAAGATAAATTCGGCGAGTTCGCTTGGTGCAAAAAGCGTGTAAACCGGCACTCCAAATGCACCGTTAGAACTAGACAAAACAAGGGGAAAATGTCAAAACGCACCTGAGGACAACAGGAATGTGGTCCGGAACTCCCAGTACACCATGATTCAGAGGATCATGTTGCGCTGAAAGGAAAGTGGTTGAATTCAACGAATTGCAGGAGCCAAAATTCACAATACAGTACATGGGAATTGAGTGACAACAAGAATAACCATATGAGTATCTGCGGCTGTACAATAATCGCGATGGCAGAACGGGAAGATTAAGTGAATTAAAATGAAAAACAATTCATGGTAGAAAGTGGCAAGTTCACATGACAGAGTATAGCAACATGTAAAATTTAACGCAACTCATAAGAAATAAACGAAGAGCATGGGGAGGTACAATAAATCGTTCGCTAGGGTACAGCAAGATTAAAAGTGGATGATAATGCACTGCGGATCCTGGCCCGAATATCCGTGAGATTAGACAAAAAGCGGAATCAAAGGATCGAGGAAGAAGCATCAAAACAAAGACAGTTGAGATTTACTAGAATTCCTGCAGTGGAGTGTGATACAAAGCTATAGGTGACCATTCACTTTCGATACGAAAGCATTATCAATGCGAGTCTGAACGTATCCGGCGTAGCATTTCGATCGAATTGTAACAAGTTTTACGGCAAAAAGAAACGTAGGCAGAAGAAACCTATTGTTGGCCGTGTCTGTGTGTAAAGACTACAAACAGTTAACAGTACAGGACGTTCAATATGGATCCGCCCACCGAAATTCGTGACAATGACCTGTCAGTCAGATAGTTGCTATGATCTTGGCGACCTGAGACATCATCTATTACGTTTGCCGCACGCAGTGCTTCCCCAACAAGCTAGACTACCTACTAAGTCACCGTTTCTACGACTATAACTGCCCATTCCGTTATGTGCTTACGCAGAGGGGGTGGTAGGTGCACCATGAAAAAACGAGGTGATCTCGGTATAGCATAGTTTGCACCAGCATACATGAAGTGAGGATGGGTAGAAGCGACGAATAAATTCGTAAATAGCGAATAGCCTAAGTGCTTTGTGAAACACCAGTTATGGCAAACAGAATGCAAGTCGGAGTGTGATAGGCAGTACTAACCCGATGAGTTTGATAAGCGTCACCGCATGGATACGGTAGCATAGCAGAGATCACTTCAAATGACAGCTTGAGCAGTAAGAATTATACCGAATAATCGAATTACCCCGTTGAGGCGCCATCGGAGAGTTTCAGGACTACCCCGATCCAGTAAACTAATCGGCGTTGGCTGTTCAGAACATGGTGGTTTTTCACCTGGCAAGCGTTCACCACAATGTTCGCTAACAGGATTCGGTTGAAGCGGATATAACCGCCGCAGGTGTTCGCTGCTTCTCGAAAACAATATAAAAGAGATTAAACAATACAGATTAAAAAAGTATCACATTATGCATTGGGTTGTGACCGTTGTTGAAAGGGGAAGTTAAAGGAGAGGGAAAGGACAAAGGGACTCAAAACACAAACGTTACTGGGGTCGGCTTTTCGTCAGGTCAGGTAGTGTATCCAACCAAAGGTGTTCATTGTAGAAACCAGATTCAAGTCCCCAGTGACGTACTTCGGCTAACATCTCAGCCGACCACGGAATCAAACACTACCTGTGACCGATTGGGCACACAGAAGTTCGGTTGTTAGCGTGGCATCAAATGGCAAGGACGACACCGTGCGGCGGAATTGATTCCCAATTAAGAGATGGCGGCGTGCAGTTCGGCTTCAGAGTTCGTGCGGAATCAGCAAATACCAAGAATAAGAAAGCATGTCACCACTACCGAGGAACGAGATCGAATTTTTATATCTGTTAAGAGATTCTGTGGTAGCGATGTATGCAATGGACGTAAAATCGACTTTAAAAATGTCGAAGTAACGAGGAGTGGTTCGCCATCAACTGCATCAAAGCTAATTGCCGAGGCAGTGAAATCACCAGTATCAACGACTGTGTGAATAGAATAGAGTAGGACTGTTGCGAACCTGGTGTTCAATCTTACTCTGGCCAACTTGATAAACGTCAACGGATGGATCCGGAGTTGAGAAGGGCTATCAACATCATACACACCATCGAATTTTTAAATATCATCAGTCAATTGACCAACTTCTTTCCAAAAGATGGCTTAAGATGATGGCCCGATGAACACTTGTAATTGTTCCATGACTGAGACTTTTGTTGCGAATGTAACGCACGTTTGCTACAAACTAGTTCACTTAACCAGAAGAAACATTGTGGAAAACGCGAAACGTCAACAAGCAGATACAATAATCTGATGTTCGCAAGCATTTCTGAAATGATGGCCTCACATTAATCACAAAGATATCATATAACCGAATGTATTGCAACTGACTGCAGTTGGTATTGATCAATAGCGAACTGGATATCTTTGTCGGCGTACGGGTTGATCGCCTGTCGTCATGTGGACGTGACCCCAGTGGTCATGCCCCGCCGAACGAGAACCACTTAGATAATGGAGATAGGTCCTCATGTTGTGCAAAGGTAGCAGTAACACCATCCTTCAGGCATTCAGACATACGTCTTTCGTCTAAACAAAGTGATTTCCGATCGAATACATTGCCATCCGCCTGATATGCTGGAGTAGTATAGGGAAATGCAAGTCAGCTTGGTCGGACTAGACGCTGCGTTAGACGAAAAGCCGCACATCATTCGGTGGGTCGCAGGAATCAAAATACTCTCAATGTCAAACGCGCACCCGTAGTCCAACACAAAACATAGAGCAATACTAGATTTTTCTGAAGAAAGCAATGCTCTATTTCTAACAATCAACCTGCGGTCTCACTCGTTATTCCACGAGACGCTGGAGATTCTCTCGCCGCCGAAATACCATAGCGGAATTCCATTGTAATGAATTGTACCATTCTCTCAGCTGCCGACTCAAACAGAATCTTCGTAGCGACTGGAAAACCTGGTAATTCCAAAGCGTTTTGGATAGGAAACTGCTGCTTTCCAGTGATACTTCCATGAGCTGTCCTAATGCATTCAGTTGACCGGTCACAAGAATATGAGATGCGCATAGATCATCAATCACTATTCTGTGAAGCAGGTGGACCAAAGTATTGAAAATTACCAACTCAAATCTAATTCATCGTCACCGACAGCGATGTTCATCAGATCTGCCACAAAGAATACCATCTTCGAGTGAATCGTCATTGTCCCAACTTGTAAGAAGCTGATGGAGCTTTACACAGCATTCACAGCAACATAGAATGCTGGTATCTATCCCGCCGCGTAGACTATCCGTAATTCGTGGACCACACTCCCTTGAAGAACAAGCTGGTTTCGGCTCTGTCAACTCCTTGAAAACAGTCATCGCTACCACACGCCTCATCGATTCATCCTAAACAACTGGGTAGTATACAACTCTATCGATCGAACAATTGAAAAATGGAATTCTTGTAGAGCGATGTGTCTCCACTGTTTACGCGAGAAGAGGGATTACAGAAAGGTAGCCACAACCCTCGTTGTCACCAATAATGCACGATAAGGAGTTATTTGTCCGCCTTTCATTTCAAGGGGGGACAATAATTGTTTTAACGTTTTGATTCGCTCTCCGAGCTGCGTAATTTAATGTCAAACGTTTCACCACTTCCCTCAGTGGCATCTTCAGTGTACAGCTCCGTGAGATTTCCCCTACGGAGCTGTACACTGAAGATGCCACTGAGGGAAGTGGTGAAACGTCTGACACTAAATTACGCAGCTCGGAGAGCGAATCAAAACGTTAATTACGAACCCGAGCTACAGGTATTCCGAATCATTGCAAATAATTGTTTTGTTGAGAGTTCCGGAAGGCTTACAGCGGGAACTTCATACAGATAGTCTAGTGATAATTACGCTGATGATATAACATTGACTCGCAAAGACCGCAGAATAACGCGAGTCACTCGGAGCCACTAGGATATTAAAGAAGTTCTGCATCGTAAGCCTGTGGTCAGCTGTAAGCGCATGCTGCCGCTCCAAACGTGGTCGTCACTGGCTCATGCACTCGCACTTAGAGATAGACAACTTGAATTGGTTGACGATTCTGTCCATCTATGGAGCCGCGTATCCGATGGCCACATGGCTAAGTGGAGTAGTTCAACGGAAGGAACCACAATGAGAGATCGGAGAAGATGTCGCCACATGCCAAATGACGGACTTCAGTAACAGTAAATAAGTACTCCTGCCGGGTATGATAAGTGCTTCGCAAGCGTCGGTTGTCAGTACGATGGGTTTCATAGTAACCTTGGTGCACACCGGTTGTCTCCAATGCACACAGTAACAGCGGCCATTCCAAAACACAGGGTATCATTTCTGGGACTAAGAGGCCTACAGGCCGCCTCTGCATAAGTAAACACACACACACACACACACACACACACTATACACGTTAGCTAGAGGTGGGAAACAGCTCAGCTACTGTGCCGCAATACATAAAAGAAAAAGAGGGAATAAAATGCAAAAGGTGCAAGCCAGCTGAGCTACCGGTAACGGATGGGTATCGTTACGGTAAGCTACCTGCCGGCTACTATGCGGCAGAAAAAAAATAATTTACTTTGCAAAAGGTTAACTAATGAGATCGTAGTTGGAGGGAGTGGGACAAAGGAACTCATAACACGAACGCCACTTAGGTCGGCTCCTAGCCATATCAAAAAGTGTATCCAGCCAACCCCAACCAGGGAGCCGAGACACTCCAACTGAGGCCACCTTCGAAGTGAGGGCCTTCATTCATCTCAACCAAGTTATCGCTTGGCCACCTCTCCTTTTTTCCATCCACACCCCCGGCGAGCAAACAAAGCACGTCGCGGGAGTCGGTGGGCTGGCATGCGCAACACGTGGCCTAGCCATCGGAGCCTGGTGCGTGAAATAACGCTGCTGAGCGGTTCATTTTCTTTTCCTATGTCGCAAACAAGGCATCGAACACCCTCGTTGCTAACTCGGTGTTCTCACCAGATGTGAGCCAAATAGCGAAGGCACCGGTGGTCGAACGTAACTAGCCTCTTCAGGTCCGCTACTCTTAGGGGCTGAGTGGTGTTAACTACACATTGCCAACAGTAGAGCTACGGCTTCGAGCTCCATAGGGGTCAGATGGGAT